AAAAAAACAATTATTAATTAATATTTATGTGTGAAAATTTCCCAATTAGAGATAATAAATCAAGTATACTAAGGGGAAAAAAATAGTTTGAATTCATATCGGAAAAAAATCTATTGTCTAACACGCATTCTAATTGATTAAGATTTATTTAAAACATATAATTTAATAGATTTAAAATTCTATTTAATGACTTTTTTTTTCTGATTTTTTAATTTTTAATAAATTTTAACAAACAAAAATGAATGTGTATTAAAGAATGCGTTGCTATCACTCTTTAATTAAGAAAAATACAATTAAAATTCAATCCACATCATTTATAACCCCGTGTCTCATAAAAAAGAATCGCATGTGGATTTCTTTTTTCAAAAAATATTGGAACGTATGTGATGTTTGCACTGATTGAAGATAATTGATCGAGTATAATAAAATTTAAAAAAAAAATGGTTTGGATAACATTTTTTTTTGTCGGCAAAAGAAATTTATAAATAAGTAAGTACTAAAAGTATTCAAAAATACAAAGATAATTAATACACTCTAACAAATAATAAATAAGAAATATCAACTCTTTCAAGTAAATCTAATAAAATATATTTCATTCTTTGTCAATTCTTTTAATCAAATTCATGAAAAAAATAATGTCTTGTATTACTTGTTGGAATAAAAAACTTGACTTTTTTTTTTTTTTTGGATAACATAGTTTTACGCTTCTGATACAGTCAAGATATCCACAGCATTCAAATGATTTTTTTTGAGACCCCCTTTTCCCTTTTCTTCCTCCTTTACTTACCCTCACTCTACTCTCACTTCTCCTCACTTGCCCATTTCCTTTCTTTGTGGTAGCTGTTGCATTTTAGGTGTGGGATAGGGGCTTTCGTAGCTGGCTGAAGTTATTCCTTCTTTTCTCATCTCTCCGTTCATCTTTCTTCCCCGTTCAAGCTTGTCTCCTTCCTGGAAGCTCGGATCTTCGCACCGAGGTAAGGGAAGCTAGGTTTTTGTTGATCTTGGCTGTAAATGAGTTCTAGAAACTCATTGGTTGTTTGATATTTGATGATTTTTGTTGAGATTGAAGAAATTGGGGCTTTTGGGTTTTACGGGGTTTGATGGAAAATTTGGGGTTTTTTATGATTGATGGATGCATGTTGAAAAAGCTGGTATTTTTTAGTTGTTGTTTGAAAATGTGGTACTTTGGACCGTTTGCATGTGGAATTTCTGTTGATTTTTGCAGGTTTTGAGCAAATTTTCGAAGTTGGAGATTTGCTGATTGAAAGCACGCCGGACACAGTTCTTGGCGCCGGGCGCGTGACCATCAGAGGGCTCCATTGGTCAAGCACGCTGGGTGCAGGGTTGTGTGTGCCGGGCGAGCTTGCCCCCTACAATGAGCCGCTGGTTGGTTTTGCAGGGGAAAGGGTCAACACCAAGGGATTTATTAAACTCTCTACTCGATTTTGTTTCGACGAAAGGGAGCACCGAGATATCCAGGTGAAATATATTGTCGTCCAAGCCAACACATCTTATAACATACTACTTGGTCGGCCATCATTGAACGCCCTGGGGGTAATTGTGTCAACCCCGCATCTGGCTATGAAGTTCCCATCGGCCAAAGGAAACATTCTCACCATACACGCCGATCAAAAGGCAGCTCGGGAGTGTTATTTTGCCAGCTTGCGCGTACCACCTGTTCAAGAAAAATCAGCAAAATCAAGGAGGGTTCATGCGATCACCCCTTCTCAAGAATCGGCTTCACTATGTGATCTCGATCCATGAATGAATGATGAAAGGGCAGAACCGATGGAAGAAAAGATCCCAATACAAATTGGAAAACAGGCATCTCAAGTCACCTACATCGGCAGTGGTTTGTCAGACACTGAAAGACTTGAATTGAGTAAAGTAATTGCCTCGAACAAAGACTTATTTGCCTGGACTCCGTCCGACATGCCTGGAATAGATCCGAGCTTTATGTGTCACAGGCTATCGATCTGCTCGGCCGCTAAACCCGTGGCACAAAGAAAAAGGAAAATGGGATCAGAGAGAAAAGCTGCTGTTGAGTTAGAAGTAGCCATGTTATTGCAAGCCCGCTTCATTAGGGAAGTACAGTACACCACATGGCTAGCCAATGTAGTCATGGTTAAAAAGCCAAGTGGCAAATGGCGAATGTGCACAGATTATACCAATCTCAACAAGGCATGCCCGAAAGATGCCTATCCACTACCTAACATTGACCGCTTGGTTGAGAGGGGTCTGGACATCGTTTATTGACTTTCTTGGATGCTTACTCGGGCTACAATCAAATACGCATGCACCCGCAGGACGAAGAGAAAACAGCTTTCATCACGGACTCGGCCAACTACTGCTACCGAGTCATGCCCTTCGGCCTAAAAAACGCCGGAGCAACGTACCAACGACTTATGGACAAAATTTTCAGACATCAGATCGGCCGAAACTTGGAAGTTTATGTTGATGATATGGTTTTCAAATCAGATGACCTCGGCACCTACCAAAGTGATCTTGAAGAAGTTTTCAAGCAAGTCCGAAAGCATGACATGAGACTGAACCCTGAAAAATGTGTCTTCGGTATAGCGGGGGGTAAGTTTCTTGGATTCATGCTATCTGCCAGAGGTATTGAAGCTAACCCAGATAAGTGTCAATCGGTCATCGGCATGCGAAGCCCGCATAATATTAAAGAAGTTCAAGTGTTATCCGGACGACTCACGTCTCTTTCTCGGTTCCTTCCCTGCCTAGCCGAAACGGCTAAGCCCATCCTCAGGTTGTTAAAAAAGGCCAATAAGTTCACTTGGACTGGAGAGTGTGAAGAATCATTCAAGATCCTCAAACATCGACTCGGCACACCCCCGATACTTTCAAAACCCGATCCAAGCCTCAACATGATAGTGTATTTGTGTGTTTCCAATGAGGCAATCAGCGCCGTCCTCGTGCAAGAAAAAGAATCTCAGAAGCCGGTATATTTCGTGAGTCGAATGCTACAAGATGCCGAAAAAAGATACCAACTACTCGAGAAGATGGCACTCGGCTTGGTCCACACAGCACGACGTCTTCGGCAGTATTTTCACAGCCATAAGGTTATCGTTCGGACTGATTGTCCCATTGCCAAGGTCCTACGAAAACCCGAGCTAGCAGGACGAATGATGGCCTGGTCTGTAGAGTTATCTGAATTTGACATAGCGTTTGAACCAAGAGGACCGATCAAATCTCAGTGCCTAGTTGACTTCGTCAATGAGTTGCAACCGATGGGCCATTTTGAGAATGATCAATGGGTACTTCGTGTCGACGGTTCGTCTAATAACCAAGGAAGTGGGGCGGGAATAATTCTCGAGGGACCAACAGGCTTGGCACTTGAGCAATCCCTTCGTTTTGCTTTCAAAGCCTCAAATAATCAAGCCGAATACGAAGCATTACTGGCGGGATTGAGGTTGGCTCGGGAAGTTGGCGTTCAGAATTTGCTATGTTGGACTGATTCAAAAGTTGTTTCGGAGAAGGTCAACGAGAATTTTCAGGTTAAGGATGCCCAACTGTTAAAATACTATCATACTTTTCAAAACATGTGCCAACATTTTGACCAAGTATCGGTGAAGCACACCCCCTGCGAACATAATGACAGGGCAGATCAGCTAGCCAGACTGGCAACCAGCAATCAGAAACCAGGACAGCTTCGAACCACCCTTCATTTGGAGCTCTCAACCCCAAGTATTGAGGTAGTTGAATGCTTATCAGTCTCCGAGCAGTCGGCAACATGGATGACCGACATACTACGATTCATCACTGAAGGAGTCGGGCTGACATGTCCTTCGGCAGCCAAAAAGTTAAGAACCCAAGCTGCGAGATATTCTGTTATAGGAGGGGAGCTTTTTCGAAGAGATTTCTCGTCTCCTTTACTCAAGTGTTTAAACAATGAAGAGGCTAATTATGTGTTGCGGGAAGTGCATGAAGGAATCTGCGGCTCTCATTCGGGAGGGAGAACTTTAGCAACAAAGGTCCTTCGGGCCGGCTATTATTGGCCGACACTCAAATTTGATTGCATGGAATTCGTCAAAAAATGCATCCAATGCCAAAAGCATGGCAATTTGATACATGCATCAGCCGAGCAGCTACACAGCATCACTTCCCCATGGCCGTTTGCCATATGGGGAATGGATATATTAGGACCGTTTCCACTCGCTAAAGGGCAATGCAAGTTCTTGCTGGTCGCGGTGGATTATTTTACTAAGTGGATTGAGGCTGAACCTCTCGCAACAATCACGGCAAACAATGTGCAGAAGTTCCTCTGGAAGAGTGTCATCACACGATTCGGTATCCCACATGCCATCATCACAAATAACGGACTTCAGTTCGTAGATCAGAAGTTCAATAAGTTCCTTCAGGACTTGGGGATCAAACACCGATTCACATCAGTTGAGCACCCACAGTCAAATGGCCAAGCCGAAGCGGCCAACAAGGTCATCCTCTCGGAACTAAAGAAGCGCCTAGGGACAGCCAAGGGCACATGGGCCGAAGAGCTTTTGGAAGTGTTATGGGCGTATCGTTGTACCCCTCAATCCACCACCCAGGAGACCCCCTTCCGATTGACATATGGTGTTGATGCAATGATACCTGTCGAAGTAGGCGAACCCTCGTTCCGCCGAGCACATTTCGATGAACTCACTAATGATGCATCTATTCGGGTGGATATTGATTTAGTCGACGAGGTACGTGCTAAGGCTCAGATCGTGGCCGAAGCGTGTAAGCAGAGGATGACTCGAAGATTCAATTCTAATCTCACTAAGAGAAGCTTCAAGGAGGGAGATTTAGTGTGGCGAGTACAAGGGTCGGCAAGACGCAATCCGCGAGAAGGCAAGCTGGCGGCAAATTGGGATGGCCCATTTCGAGTCCGACACAGCCTCGACAACGGAGCATATAAGCTTGAAGAGCTCTCGGGCAAGATCATCCCAAGAACGTGGAACGCGTCGCATTTGAAAACATACTATAGTTAAGGTTGTAATATAATGACAATGTAATTCCAAAGTGCACTCTTTTCCTTGATCGGTCTTTTCTCCCCTTATAAAAAAGTGAAAAGGGGTTTTGGCCGACAAGGTTTTTAACGAGGCACACACACATCAATGAAAGACAATTCATGTCATGGTTATTCTTACTCTTCTACTTGTTCCAAAATATAAAAAAGGTTTCCCTCCCGAGTTGGTCAACTCGGCTAAGGATGTACCTTCACAATCATCAAAAAAGGTTTCCCTCCCGAGTTGGTCAACTCGGCTAAGGATGTACCTTATAAATCATAAAGGTTTCCCTCCCAAAGTAATTAGCTCGGCCAATTCTCTATCGAATTGCTCAACTCGGCCAACGAGGAAATCAAAGCATTTCCGAGTAACCTCCACTCGGTTTTGCTAAGAAATCAAGCATTTGCGAGTAACCTACACTCGGTTTTGCTAGAATGCCATGCATTCCCGAGTAACCCCCTCTCGGTTTTGCTAGGAAATCAAGCATTTCCGAGTAACCTCCACTCGGTTTTGCTAGAATGCCAAGCATTCCCGAGTGACATCCACTCGGCTTTGCTAGGAAATCAAGATATTTCCGAACGACATCCGCTCGGCTTTGCTAGGCAATCGAGATATTTCCGAACGACATCCGCTCGGCTTTGCTAGGAAATCAAGATATTTCCGAACGACATCCACTCGGCTTTGCTAGGAAATCAAGATATTTCCGAACGACATCCGCTCGGCTTTGCTAGGCAATCGAGATATTTCCGAATGACATCCACTCGGCTTTGCTAGGAAATCAAGATATTTCCGAACGACATCCGCTCGGCTTTGCTAGGCAATCGAGATATTTCTGAATGACATCCGCTCGGCTTTGCTAGGAAATCAAGATATTTCCGAACGACATCCGCTCGGCTTTGCTAGGCAATCGAGATATTTCCGAACGACATCCGCTCGGTTTTGCTAGGAAATCAAGACATTTCCGAATGACATCCACTCGGTTTCGCTAGGAAATCAAAGCATTTTCGAGTGACGTCCACTCGGTTTTCGACAACTCTTTCGGAACAGTTTATATAAAATACTCTTGGAATAAATTGGTTAAGTTTTTAAGTTAAGAGAGACGATCCGAATTAGCATTGATTCAAAAATACACCACATGATTCAATAGAAAGTGCCATTTCATTCAAAAGTGGAGGCTCTACCGGCCCCCTTGCTACAAAAATTAAAAAAACGGAGGCTCTATCGGCTCCCCTTGTTACAAAAAACCTTGTAAAATATCAACACTACTCCTCCGAATCTCTGACCGTGTCATCCTGAGCATGAGTCTCGGTTTCCCCTTCTGGCTCGGGATTGACATGTTCTTCATCTTCCTCTTCACCAGACAAAGCGTCAGCATCTCCTTCTGGCTGGGGGGCAGCTCCCGGCTCCGAGTCATCAAGATTCGCCCCCTCGGGCATCTCAGCAAAGGATATAAATGACCCTTGATAAAAATCCTGGGTCATGTCGAATTCAAAGTCCTCTGGGAATTGGCCGAAGTGCTTTGCCTGCCGAACATCATGTTTAAATCCAGCCTCGTGCTGAGCGACGATCTTCTCCTTAGCCTGCTCTTTCAGGAGGTTGTATTCAGCTTGGGCGATCTCTGCTCGGCGGCGCTCTTCATTGATTTCCTTTTGTAGATCCAGGCGAAGAGTGTCATTCTCCCGCCTAACAGAATCCAGCTCGGCAGCCAACTCGCGATTTCTGGCTGCTGCTTGTTCGGTGTCCGAAATAGCTTCGGCTGTGGCCTTCTCGGCCTCTTCGAGACTTTGTTTCAGATGCATCACCTCGCCGACAGGATCCATGGCTAGGTGATGAGCCAAGGCCAACGAACGCGCTTGCATCTCGCAGAAAAGTCTCCACTTGGTTCTCGTCTCCAGGCCGGCCAAGAACTCCTGCCCGAATAGCGAAACTGCATCAGACCGAATCAGGGTATCGGCCGATACATCATCACTCAGAAAAGCCCGAGACATTAGTTGGGGCGGCACCACAATCACAGTCCGATTGGGTGATGCCTCGGGCACCGATTTAGCCTTCTTCGGATTCCCTGATTGTTCCTCAGAACCCTTCCTCTTCATTCGCTCCCGATCAGCCTCTTTACCCTTCCTCCCCTTCTTCTTTTTCCGTTCGGGCGAAGGAAGCTCTCGGTTATCTTGCTCACGTGGGGGAGTGCGCGCAACAGTCGAAGTACCAACACCCCTGACTTGCTTAACCTGCTTCACTCGAGCGGCTAACAAGTTGCGGATGTTAAGTTCGTCAGCTCCACTAAACACCATAATTCCTGCAAAAAGATAAAGTAAACATCAATAGGAATTTATCCAATAGCCGAAATAGGAGGGATAACGTACCTATCAGGTCGTTCTCCCATAGGGGAGACTCAACCAAGTTAATCAGAGATCGGGTCGGCAAACGCCGAGGAAGGCGGAGTAACAGTTTTAAATCTTTCCGTTCTTCGGCCGAAAGAAGACTCTTCGGTACTACATCGTATGGCCGAGGGGCCCGTGTCCAGTATAGAGGAAACAAGCTTCTGTTATCCTCACCGAAAAAGAAACGTCTCCCATTCGGACGAATGGTCACTCGAAAAAATCCCGCCTTGAAATTCTTATAGGAAGATGTAAAGCTATCCAACAATTGTCGTTCCCCTACTCGGCTCAATGACAACCACTTGGCCAATATGGAGGGTCTGGACGAGTAGAAATAAAGAAAGAGTAGTGGGGAAGGCCTAATGTGAATACATCGGCACAAGTGCTTGAAACCCTGCAGTTGAGCCCAGCTGTTCGGATGTAATTGGGTTGGGGCAACATTGAGAACCCTCAACACTCCCATAGTAAACTCATCAAAAGGTAGTTTTACTTTGAGATCCCGAAGGAGACAATCATATATGTAGAACGATTCCATTTTCGCCCCACTTTGATCAAGACAAACGGTATCAGGGTTCGGAAAGGCATTGTTTCGGCACGATCGAATACCAATCGGGTATGGATTCTCCTTAGCATTAAAAGTTAAGCAATTTGTATAATCTAGAAGGTTGGTGATCATGCTTGTGTCTTGGTATCGTGAATAGTAGGAGGTCACCTCCCCGTTCACCCACTCGTAGCCAGGCACCTCGGACGGACCATACCGTTGCCGATTCGACACGCGTTTCGACTTTCCCTGTACCTCGGCAACCCCGCTAGTAGAAGTTTCCTGCGAAGTATTCTCATTCGGCCTTTCGGCATGATCTAAAGACCGAACCACACTAGAAAAGCTCGAACTACCGGACGAGGCCCCCTCAGACGACGATGACCGAGAGCTACTGGCCGAAGAACTTCCAGAAGTATTAACCATGACGATAAAAACTTACCAATTTCTTCACACTGCCACAATCGTTAGTCGGATCGGCTTCAGACCTTCTGCTACCACAATTCGGTTAAGAGCAATACGTGTGAATGGCCATACCAACCAGCTATTTATAAGCTCAAAAATGGGCAGGAAAAAAAATTCAAGTTTAAAAAAAAAATGTAACCGTTCGATCTCCGAAATCCAACGGTTAGAGGCATGCAACCGTTCACCTTACCCTAGCAACTGTCTCCATTTTACCCTTGAAGAAAGCTTCACCTTTCCTCAAGGCTGGGGGGCAGTGTACAGGTAGGGGGGTTCGGCCACCACCCCATCGGCCGCCGAATGGCGGAACCAGGAAGCCGAATGCCAATCGGCCACCAGGATCGGCCTAACATCATTTGGTATTCTTAATCAAAGATTAGGGGTTAATTAGTCGATTAAGGTGTATTACCTAATACGGTAAGTATGTCACAGGGCCCATGGGGTCCAAGGCCCATAAATGTCAGTATAAATAGCTCAGGACAAAAGGTAACGTCACTGTTCATTAATTACCCTAGATATTTGTGCTTGTCCTGACTTGAGCGTTGGAGTGCCTTTTGCAGGTACCAACCCCTTCATCCACGTCTCGGATCGGAGTTCTCGTTCGGCCTTTGGACTACTAGAAGACTTAGTGTGCCCATCAGACATGTACAGTAGTTATTACGTAGTATTTCTCCCTATATATAGACAGAGAAATGACTACGCTATGTCGTTGGCAAAAGGTTTAATTAATGACTTCAATATTGAAACCAACCAACTAGATCGAATATAAGTTGAATTTCTTAGTGATGGCGACAGAAATTTATTTCTTTGGTGTACGCACGTAAAGAAAACTCTATCAAGGGGTAAAAATCTACTTCAACGATTTTTACATATCATGGAAGAATTTGTACGTGTTTAGAATCTCTACGCATCTGGCTAGACGCGGATAAAAGAGTCACGTCCTCGGCAAAGAAGAATTTGTGCATGTTTAGAATCTCAACGCATCTGGCTAGACGCGAATACAGCAGTTACGTCCTCGGCAAAGTTATTCCATAGAGCTAATGGTTTCAAATAGTTCGAGTGAATCTAACTCAATTTGAGTTAAATGCAATTTTAAGTTTGATTAGTGATTGTTCTGATTTATATATTTTTTGGCCTGTCATTTATTTGGCTTAACTTGGTTCATCTCGGATTATCAAGTCAACGGGTCAAATTAAAAAAAATACATCTAGAAAAATTAAATCTATTCTTTTATAGTGAAAAAAATAAAAATTATAATATGATTAATTGATACTATATATTATCATAAAACACCTAATAACTTTACATATATATAATTTTTCACAATCATTACATTTGCATTTATTTATTCTATCAACTAGATTAATCTTTTCATAATAATTCCACACCTCAAAGATTTACAATATATTGATCTTTATCATTAACACTCTTACTCTTAATTTTACCGTGACTTCGTGAGCACAAACACAAGTATGTTTGCGTCTGTCTTCTTCAACAAATGAAATAGAGATGATGGTTAAATCATCAAGGACACAATGAGATAGAACGACAAAATTCTCATTGTAACTAACCCTAATTTTAAGCTTATAACCACATCTTTAAAC